GTGGGTACATATTTGATCATTTTATTGTTGCAACAAGCTTTACAAAACCTCATGTCAGGATAATATAGGTACATTTAATATTTGCATTATGTTTTCATGATTTTTGGGTCTCATAAAATAAAAAAGTGTCATGTAATTGCAATGGATTAGCGAATAATCAAAAACGACAGTTATCACCCAAGATCACAGGAAAGTATTCTCAAGTTATTATTAGCGTGGGATATTCATGACATCTGGCGTAATCAATTGAATCAACATTACACCTGGAAATGAGGTAGGGCAAGCAAGGAGCATAGATTACATATTGATTCCTTTTTCATTTGTGTCGAAGGTTACCACGGCAACTATTGATGAAAGTTACAGTTCTGATCACTGTTTAATCAAGGTTAGAATTGAAACTAATGCCAATCCCCGCGGTAAGGGATATTGGCATTTTAATTTATCTCATGGTGCGTTTGCTGTTGAATACTTCTTTTTTAGAACGAATCCAGTTATGGACTTGTTTTTCATTTACACCGAAATGATCAGCTGCTTTGGGTTGTTCTTCAACTCAAGCGCCATACCGATGACCTTCAGTTTAAAATCGGCATCACATGATGCTCTTCTAACGGACATTTTGACGAAAACGTGGTGAATAATATTGGTACGTAAGCGATAGCGATAGCGATAAATAGTGTTGCGAACAGATATACTGAACTCAGAATGAAAGATTCTTGCTTTTACTCCGGTATTTATGGAAACGTTTTGAATAAAGTTATTGTTTTCTTAAGATCGTTCTCACTTGTACGCAGTCTGAGTAACAGGAAATGAAACATTAATTTGTTGCATTTTAGTACAGGATTAGACTGTCTCGTAATTACCGTTGTCACCTAAAAGTTATTGTTTTCATTCGTGTTACTACTGAGATCATTCTCACTCAATCGCAGGAAATAAAACACTATAGACCATTGCGCACGTGGAAGTTCGGGGTGCGGCTTATATTGCAGGGTTTCCCTGTGATCAAAACTTATCAATTTTAACAAGAAACAATGTCTCCAGTTAGGGTTGCGGCTTCTATTAAAGCTGCGGCTTCAATTTGTGAAATTTACGGTAGATGGCGAACGCCCAACAAAATATTCACAGGTTTTTCGATCGACTACGTTAACATGAATGATGCCATTTTAGATTTATTTAGCGATGTCAGCATGATGGCACATGAAGTTTTTTCCCCATTAAAAGTAGAAGATGAACATAATTAATCTTTACATTGCAGGAACAGGATGTTTATGAGTTGGTAGGCTGGTTTTGATGCATATCAGGGTTCAAAAAAACCAAATTTCATAGTGCTAATTTTGTTTACATGTTTTGTTTAAGTTGTGGTTGCCCGAATTTTAAGTCAAAGTGAAGTCATACAATGAGGTATCACTTTGCATGATGGTAAATTTGCCGATTTTAATGAATTTTCCGACGGTATTGTAATTTGTCCGACTTCCTGTCTCCCTCGGTCCGGGTGTGAACGGTTTGTTTACACGCAACGAGGTTCGAGACAAAAGAACGCTAGTCGTTTCCAGATCGGAGATAGAGGGACAGTGATTAAGGCTATTAGTTCATTTTCGACTGGCAAATCTCCTGGTTTAGATGGCATACCTGTTGAAGTATACAAATTATTTTTCCATATTTAGGTCAACACATGCAACAAGTGTTATAATTATTCGTTCGAAAGTGGACAAATTACAACAAATTCGCGAGAAGGTCTTTTGACAATACTCCTTAAACAAGATTCTTGCGGGAAAAAAAAAGATCCAGTATTTCTGAAAAACTGGCGGCCATTAGCTCTCCTTTGCTGTGATACAAGTATCTTGGCCAAATGTCATTCATTACGGGTAATCTCTGGTAATCCATGAAGACCAAACAGGGTTTATTCATAGAAGAGTTATTGCGGATAACATTCGCTGACTTTTGGAAATTATTGCTTCATACAAGAAAGATGATTTACCAGGGTTAATTTTTATTGCCGATTTTTAAAAAGCATTATGTATCTCCCAATTCATAGCACCCGGACTGCAGCTCACACCATCACATCACTGCACTCGTAAACGAGCACTCTGTCTTTGGCACTGGAACCATCGTCAGTGACAACTGTCCACGAAGCGATTACAATCATGAAACACCTACCTGCCATTATTTAGTATTTGTACATATTTGTTAACAAATTGAATGCAATAACTACCCACCTTTTAGTCGCAGTGATGTAAAATAGCAATCTATGTGGAAGATTCGCGGAACGGTTCAAGAGCAACAGAACGGCCATTGATTTCCGGTAGACAAATTTAAAGTTTTCCCATGATGCCATTTTCATACTCCTCAGGCTAGTAGTCAATTATCGACGGGTTTTTTCGCACGTTTGAAGAAGTAGAACGGGGTTGCCGACGAAAAAGAGTTATTAATAATAATTTTATCTTACCACTTTGTTGTAAATTCATATTTTACCCAATTTATGCATTTTATCGTTTTTTCAGACTGCTATGCTTTGTCAGTTTTCATTCAAACTTGGTACATAGATTATACATGTTAGGATACATGTCCATGACGATTTATTTCACAATTGGATCAAAGATCGCCGACTGGCAGTCTTCTTGTTTTTTGAAAATGTTGTATTTTAAACATGCTTTGTCAGTTTTCATTCAAATTTAGTACATATATCATA